AGAGAGAGAGAAAGAGAGAGATCAGCAACACGCACACACAAACACACACACACACACACACACACACACACACACACACACACACACACACACATACCGATACAACATTTTAATACAGAAACAACAGAGGGAAATAACAAAAAGTAGGACCAGACAATGACGCTATCCAACCACGGACATACAAAGAACACACCATTCTTCTGATAATCTATCTCTTAACTCCAAATACACCACTGACGTTTGTATAATGGAACTTTGACCCATAGGCCCATGTTTCTATTTCATGACGTATGTTCCCTACGTAATCAAAAATGGTGATGAAAGAAATAAGTAATGTTTATCTTCTGATTTTTTCCAAAAGAAACTATTATCAAATATCAAGTGGCCCTTAACAGCATCCCAGATTTGTTTTTATTTGTTTAAAGAAGTAGAATATTTGGTGATGGTGATTGAACTACTGACAATGATGGAACTGTTGGCAATGATAAAACAACTGACACTTAATGATGAGGCACATAACTCCATGTAATGTTGGCGATGGCGGAGGTGATGCTAATGCTGTTGTTGCAGTTGCAGTTGTTGGTGCTGTTGTTGTCGTTATTGCTGTTGCTGTTGTTGTTGTTGTTGCTGCTGTTGTTGTTGTTGCTGCCCTTGTTGTTGTTGTTGTTGTTGCTGCTGATCATTATGACAATGGCGCTGACACTAAGAATGACGTCACAGAGGGCCAAAACGTAGTAGATAGAGAAGCTGATGGTCTCGTTCTACTGCTGTCTCTAAAACCGCTAATCACATTAAAATTGTGACCACGGCGTGAAATGGTATAGGTTTAACGCCCTTATCAACATAATTAGGTTATTTAAGCGGCGAGACCTTCACGTTTAACGTCCATCTCCGAAAGGACCGAACTAAACGGGAAATTCGCGTAAAGTGCCTTTCCCAAGGACACAAGGTCGGATCGAGCTGAGGCTCGACCCCTGAACCCGCAATCTCATGATTACAGACGCCGTAGCCTTACCACAAGGCCACCAACGGTACTGACCACAGCGTGATATATATATATATATATAATGGTCGCTTTTACGCACAAGGGGCAGTGCCGAAAAAGCTGCGTTACGAAAATCGAAAGTAAAGTTTTTGCCCTTTCTTCAATTTATTTAAAAGACAAAGAGAGTTTTCCCTATAACCAAACAAATATACACAGCAATGAAACCAAACTTCTGCTGTAGGTAAGGCAATGCCCACTTTTGGTGTAGGTCAAGATTTCTGGATACCCCCGAAATTTGGGTTAGCCCGCTTGTCCTTAAAAGCGACAAATATGTGTACATAATGTATTTACTCACCAGAGTGATGTTGAACTTTTGGATCTGTGACCTCCGAGAGTACGGAAGAGCACAGCACTGGGCGCAGAACGGCGTCGTAACGATAATCCTTTGAGTTTGTTCTGTGGGAAGGAAAGAAGGAATAGACAGCTATTAGAAATCATTTGATTAATTCAGCATTAATACACTGCATCCAATTTAGGTACCCCATCCCGCTTGTCTGATGTTTAACTATTTACTCACCCTCTCATTTGCTGTCCAAATATTTATTTATCCACCCACCCACCCACCCATCCATCCATCTATCCATCCATCCTTCCGTCCGTCCATCCATCCATCCATCCATCCATCCATCCATCCATCCATCCATCCATCCATCCATCCATCCATCTATCCATCCAACCAACCATCCATCCAATTTCCATTTGTCTGTCCAACTCTTTGTTCATTCATATTCAAAGATCCATCCATCCATCAATCTATTCACTCATCCATTTGTTCAATAATATTATATCTGTCGGTCCAATCATCAATCTATTCACCAACGTGCACACTTGTCCACTATCTTGTGAGTTTGTCCGTTTGATTCAAAGAATGAATGGGGTATTTATGGGTTACTGTGGGTACGTTTCGTGTAGATATATGTACAGGCAGGCGTTTTTGCATGGATGCTCATAATGCGTCCTTGAGATTGAAAAAATGAGTATGTCTTTGATCTTCGGTATAAAGAAGCACACGGATACGATGATGGATACTAATTTCAGGGGAAAAGTATGATAGACAGGCAGAAACAAAGAGGGATAGAATAAAAGTAAAAGCAGCTCTTACTAGTGGCGCCCTCCAACCACTTTAATGACATGAAGAGAGTGGAATTATGCATTCCGGACAGAGAGCGAATGAGTGGGCTGATGACAGTAAGAAAGAGAGAGAGAGAGAGAGAGAGAGAGAGAGAGAGAGAGAGAGAGAGAGAGAGAGAGAGAGCGTG